AAACCAAACTCTAGGAAATTGCTTGAGCCCATAAAGGGATTTCTTCAGATAGCAATCCTTCCCTTCATTGTTAGGGAAGGTTAGTCCTAGGGAAAGATCCATGTAGACCTCCTCTTGAAGATCTCAATTGAGGAAGGCATTCCTTTTTTCTTTTTTTTTCAATGAATATTGAGGAAGGCATTCTTCACATCTATCTAGTACAAAGGGCATGATTGGTGTGCAGCAAGAAACATTATCACTTGGATAGAGTTCATTTTGGCTACATGTGCAAAGGTCTCCTGATAGTTAATCCCTATGTTTGGGTGTACCCTTTTGTCACCAGCTTAGTTTTGTATCTTTCAATTGAGCCATCAACCCAGTGTTTAATTATATACACCCATTTGTAACCCATTGGGACTTTACCCTCAGGAAGTGGAACAATCTCCCAAGTTTGGTTCTTTATGAGAGCTTCCATCTCTTGGTTCATAGCATCCTTCCATCAAGGGGACTACACTACATCTATAACATTATGAAGAAGAGGAACATAGGAAATGACAAAAATATAAGCATAGTAGGAAAGTGAAAGGGCATAAGAAACATAGTTAGTGATGGGATAGGTAGTACATTTCCCATTTCTTTTTCGAACTGTAATGGGAAGGTCATCATCAAGATAATAAGGAGTACTTCGAAAAGATCTATGATTCTTCTTTGAAGAAAAAGGAGCAATTCATCAAAGCACATGCTCCCATACTCCACAACAAAATGGTGTAGCAGAGAGAAAAACACAAACATGTGATTGAAGTTGCTCGAGGGTATTCTTCCAGATGCATGTGCCCACTTGTTTTCGGAGAGATGCAATTAAAGCAATGGTGTATCCCATTAACAAGCTTCCTTCACAAACTTTTCACCTTCAATCTCCTCATCAACTTCTTTTCCCTAATGATCCCGTTTTTTTTGTCTTCTTCTCAAATTCTTTGGTTGTAATTGCTTTATTCATGGCTTGAGTCCTTGCCTCAAACTCAATCCCAAGTAGTGTTTTAAAAGGCGTGGGAGGCATATGCTTAGAGGTGCGCCTCCAAGCAAGGCGCCCCCAGAACGCCTTGAGGTGTAGGCTAGAGGCGTTGACACCTTTAAGGCATATGCCTCATACGCTTTTTTTCATGAGGCCTCATGCACACCTCATATAAAAAGACAAGAAAAAAGAAAAAAGAAAGAAAGGAAAGAAAAGGAAAAGGAAAAGAAAAAGAAAGAAAAGAAGAAAAAAAGTAGTAATTTCATGGGCAACAAATAGTAGCCACACCCCATGGGCGTTTAAACATGTGATTAGGGAAGTGGAGAAGATTGCAAAGGAGGTTGAGGCGGAATTTAAATGGGTACCAAGAAGTGCAAATGGGCTAGTTGATGGATTAGCAAAACAAGGGGCATTGAGACAACAATTATTTTGGGCTACACTGTAATGAGGGGTGAATAGAGGGATTAAAGGGGATCAACAGTCCCATCATCAAGTTGTATAAACTGCTTACAATCTGAATTTTAATAAAATACATATTTACTGATAAAAAAAAAGAGAAGAAATAAAAGAGAAAGCTACTTGTGAGGTAGCCTTCCTTTTTGTATCCCATGTTTCAATAAAATTTTGGGGGGATGTTGTTCTTACTGCCACATATCTCATAAACCGTATGCCTTCTCGAGTTTTGGGTTTCAAATCACTAATCAGTCTCCTGTTTCCTAATGAGGATCTTTTGCCTCTTCCTCTTTGGGTCTTTGGGTGTACTTGTTATGTTCACATTTCTAGCCATCAAAAGCAAAAGTTTGAACCTAAGGCCCGTAAATGTATTTTCTTGGGTTATGCCTCCACACAGAAAGGATATTGCTATTATGATCCAAGCAGTGGCAACCACCTTGTCTTTTTGGATGCCACTTTTTGCAAAGTCCATTCCTTTCTACAACCTTCCTTCCAAGGGAGAGCATTCCATTAAGTTGTTTGATCCTCTTATTCTTAATGAGTTTACTATTCCTCTTCCTATCCGTTAAATTTTTTGTTGAGTTTCTTCAGTTGCTCCTTTTGTTCTCCTTCACATATCCCTACTCCCCCTCCTCCTCCTCTTACCACTTTTGTCTCTCATCCCATTGTTTAGAAGTGGTATCAACAACAAAGGCTCAAACACGAGAAAGTTGTTCCCACACATCCAATTAAACCTCTTGCATCTCCCATCATTGAAGAGGTAACATGTCAGACTTCTTTTTCCTCCACTACATTTCCAGACTTGGACTTACCTGTTGCTATTAGAAAAGGTAAACGAAAGTGTATAACTCACTATATATCCAAACACCTTTCTTACAATCTACTTTCCCTTATCTACTACTCTTTCTTAGGCTCTGTTTCTTTGCAAGCCATCCTTAAATCTTTATAAGAAGCCTTGTCTACATTAGAATGGAGGGATGCTTTGAGGATTGAGATAGATGCTTTGTATAAGAACAATACTTATACATTGTGGATTTGCTTGAGGGGAAGGAACCAGTTGGTTGTATGTGGGTATACACTATCAAGTACCACACTAATGGTACTATTGAGAGGTTTAAGGCTCATTTAGTAGACAAAGGGTACACTCAGATGTATGGTATTGACTACTCGTAGATCTTTTCTCGTAGGGCAAAAAAGACCTTAGTTTTGGTTTTTTTGTCCCTAGCAGTTAGTTTTGACTGGGTCCCATATAAATTTGATGTCAAGAATGCTTTCTTGAATGAAGATTTGCATGACAAAGTTTATATGTCTCTGCATCCAGGCTTGTATGGGAAAGAGATGCAAGGGAAGGTGTGTAAATTAAAGAAATCCCTTTATGGACTCTAACAGTCCCCTAGAGCTTGGTTTAAAAGGTTCAGGGCTGCCCTTGTCATGTTTGGAAACATACAGACTCACTTTGACCATACCCTCTTCATCAACAAAAGGGACTCTTTGATGACCTTTCTTATTGTTTATGTTGGTGATATTGTGGTTATTGGTAATGATGTATAGGAAGTTCACAACCTCAAGAAGTTTCTCAACACTAAGTTTGAAATTAAAGATCTGAGGGAGTTAAGGTATTTTCTGGAGATAGAAATTGCTTGGTCTAAAGAAGGTATATTCATTTCTCAATGAAAGTATATCCTTGACCTTCTTATTGAGATTGGAAAATTTGAAGCCAAACTTACCTCTACGCCTATAGATTTAAATCACAAACTCACAACTACTAATGGTGAATTATTGACTGATAGGGGAGTGTTCTAGAGACTACTTTGGGAAGTTATTGTAACTTTGCATGACTTGACTAGATATTTCCTATGTAGTAAGTGTAATTAGTCAGTTCATGAATTCTCCCAGAGATACCCATATGATGGCTTCTGAAAGGGTATTGTATTAGTTGAAGGGAACTCCAAGGAAAGGTATTCTCTTTGCCAAACGTGGACATATGAAGTTGGTGGTGTATACAGATGCAGATTAGGCCGGTTGTGTTGATGACAAGAGATCCACCTCACGTTATTGTGCTATGGTGGCATGAAACATTATTTTATGGAGTGAAAAGCAATATGTGGTGGCTAGTTTTTTTACGGAGGCAGAGTATAGGGCAATGGCCCATGGAGTGTCCGAGTTACTGTGGCTTAGATCCCTTTTGCAAGAATTGGGCATTGATTATGAGAAGTCGATGATGTTATACTGTCATAATCAAGCGGCCATCAACATTGCTCATAACCCTGTTCAGTATGACAAAACTAAGCATATTAAGGTGGATAGACATTTCATACGGGACAGAGTTTCTTCAAGGGAAGTTTGCTTGCCATTTGTTGCTTTTAAGAACAATTACCTGATGTCCTAACCAAGGGAGTTCCAAAAGGAAAGTTACTACATTATATAAGCAAGTTAGGCATGATTGACATCTATCCTCAGCTTGAGAGGGAGTGTAGAGAGATTGGGCCGAATGGACCCTAGTGTCTTTTTATTTCCTATCTTTTTTATTTGTTATGTTTGTGTTAATGGGCCTGTTAATAGTTTATTCATTCTTCTATGTTATGTTATGAGCTGGCCACCCCATTAAGGGCATCTTTGTAATTATTCCCTTGAGATTAGATTAATAAAAGTGATTAGGAGAAAAGGGAACTGATCGAACTTTCTTCTCCTTCTTTTCTCACCATCTTCTTCCTCTTCTGATTTCTTCTATCTTTTTTTTCACTTTTCTTCCACTGTTCAGATTGAAATACCTTTTTTTCTTTTGAGCTGATTTACATCTTACTATTAATTTCTCCTTCTTAGCAGCTACCACCATCAGAGGTGACTGCAGTACTCTAAGAATACTGATATATGATATGCATATGTCTACAGAACTATATCTACATACATATAAACAACTGCTAATTCTGGGGCTCCTTGCAACCACCTTAATGATAGATTTATATTTCTTAGGCTAGGGATCAACAAGTGATATCAAAAGTAAGTTTTATGGGGCTTGTATAGGATACATGATGAGCTCTGACTTAGGTTTTAGGTTTGGAAGTGGTCTGGGGTTTTTATATAGTCTTCTGCCTAAACTTGGGCTGGGTTTTAATATAAACCTGATTTTGG